GCTCCTCCACCCATCCCGAGCAGGAGCTACCAGGGCTGGCCTCATCCTCCTCCCACCCGGCCCATGTCCGTGGCAGGCGTGAAGCCGCAATGACTCAGGTCACCCCATCCTTTGTCCCAGCGTCGCACCGCACTGTCCCCAAGGCCACCAGGCAGGTGAGCTGCACGGGGCTCGTGCCACCGCCATGCACGTGAGCCCAGCTCCTGAGCCCTGCCCAAGGGTGACACAGGGACAGGGACAGGGAAGAGGAAGAAGCATGTACTGGGAAAACAAATTTCTGCATGGCAAAATGACCCCTCATGCCAAAAATTGTGCTCTGAGGGACAGCAGAGGGTTTAATTTTGATTTTTTCCATTAAGTTGTAGCTTGTTGGAGGAATATTTAAACTAGTTATCACTCTTCATGAAAACTTCACCTTATTCTCACTCTATGTCTATTTACCTTTTACCGTTTGATTTTATTTTTGCAATTAAATTGTGTTGTTTTTTTTTGTTTGTTTGTTTGTTTGTTTTTTGACTATTTGTTGTACATTAACATTTCTTTTAAATAACTTCCTTTTTTTATTTATCCTGAACTGATTTCCTTTCAATGGATTTTGGGTTTCTCCCTTAGGATTAGCACAGTAAAGCTGAGAGCAGCACAGCTGTGGCCCAAGTCAGATCTGAGCACCAATGTTTTTTTAGGCTGCACCAAAATTGAAACGAAGCCATCGCAGAAAACAAAGTGTTTTGCACTAAAGATCTTCTTTCAAGTCAGAGGGGCTTTCGTTTGGATCAAACAAACCCTTCTGAAGTGGGGGAAGCTCGGTAGATCCCTATCTGTCCCTCCCCTGGAGCCCCGTCAGCCAGGATGAGCTCTTCCACCCTCTGTCCTCTCCTGCCCACTCTGGCCAGTGCCAAGTGCGCCAGATGCTGAGCAGAGAAATGAAAGTGGGCACCTTTGCTCTCTGAAGCACTGTAAAAGACAAATGTGCCCTGAGATTTACATTTTCTGCTCCTCCTTTATTCCCCCCCTCCCCCAGTTTTTGCTTTAAATCTGTAAAACCAGTTCTTTGTCCCTTGTGCCTGTGCATACTGCTGGGGCTGGCGATTAGCATCGCTGTTGTCTTTATTTCCTGTATAAAAATGATGAACTGCCCAATTAATACATTTATAGTTTAAAATAATGGCAAGACAAGGTACAGAAGAGGAGGCATTTTCTACCTCTGCATACAAATATACAGTTTTGCTTTGGAAAAGCTTGCCAAAAATGAAGAATTTAACAGTAATTGTGTTTCACAAATAAAATAAAATAAAATAAAATAAAATAAAATAAAATAAAATATCCCAAGTTAAAAATTTGTGTCTCCGCATACCTTTAGACGGTTTCAGTCACCACTGCTGACCACACAGTGACAGCAAACTCACGCAAGCACCATTCAGTAGAGAGATCTTCCTCTGACAGGGCAGATTTATCACTAGGATGCAAAAAGCTCAAAATCATGGATTGTGTGTTCAGGTCATTTACTGTGACAGCAAAGACCCTTCCCTCCCCCCCCCCCCCCCAAAAAAAAAAAAAAAAAGCAAGGAAGTAACTCATTTGCTCCCTTTCAGTTGCCCTCTCAGCTTGTTCCCATTGATATAAAGTGGATTAACATTGCTTGTGTGCTTCTCCCCCAGGTTGTGCAAGGTCTGGTGGTTGGGAAGCTCAGTAAGCACTGCACAGAGAGGACCCTGCTCAGGCTCAGCATCCTTGTCTTCGCCGGCGTGGGCCTGGGCATGGTAAGGCTTGGTGTAAAATCATTCACGGTGCCTTTCAATAACGTGGCAGGCAGGGGCCTGGCTGCCACCACTGCTGCTGGCAGTGCCACCGCTGGCTCTGCTGGGCAGGGCTCGGGGGGGGGGACCAGCAGTCCTGGGCCACTCTGCAAACACGGCTGTGCTCAGCAACGATAAAGAGCACTGTGAGTAATGGTTATGGGGATTAGGAAAATAATAATCCTGCACAGAAATTCGTAAGTCCATCCTGAGTCACTGGATTTGCATAGAGGTCCTGCCTTCCGTCCTCAAGCCGCTGCGTTTCCTGAACAGCCCAGAAAGTAAATGCAGATTATGGGGAGAAAAAACATTGCAGTTGTACCCTGCTGTGAGACAGAGAAGGACTGTTTTCTCATCTTTCCGGGCCTTTGTTTTGCCTAATTCCCCCAAGCTTAGAGCATCTGGAGAAGGAGGCAGCAAGGAAATAATTCATCTCCTCCATTTGGGGACAAGCAGCGTCACCCATCACCGGTTGTGTTGGTGTGGGAGAGAGTCGATGCCAACCCCAAACGTCAATCGGGAAATCGTGCTGACGTGGGCAGCTCTGCTGATAATCACGTTCACTCAGATAAGCCAGCTCTGCCCAGGGCAGTGAGATGCTCAGGAAGGGTCTGTCTGGTCCCTGCCCACTGGCATCATGCCTTTTGGGCTGGTGGTGGTATGCCCCATAAAGTGTGGCCTAGGGGTGGTTTTGAGGGTCTCACCACTGGGGTTTGGCCTTGGGTGGGAGCAATTATGTGGGGCCAAGGTGGAGCTGGCCCACCCTGAGATGTAAGGATCAGCAGCCAAGAGCAGGGCAGAGGGGTGATGGTGGAGTAAAGGGCTTTGTTGCACCAAGGTCTCACTGGGAGGACTGGCAGCTGTTGAAGGTACAGGAGAAAGCCTCGACAGCAGAGCAGACTGGAGGCACTCACTCAGCCAACTTTGTTGGATGTGGCGTATGTGTCTGAAACCCATCCAAAACCAGCGTGGATGGGACACATGAGCTCACAGGCAGCAATGACAGAGCAGCAAGGGGGTGATTTGGGGAGGGTAATTCCCATATGCCTCTGGAGAGACAGCAGCACAGGGGCCACAGGGCTGATGTGGCTGCACAGGGAGGGGAAAGCGGGGAAGGGAAATGGTTGGTTTGAGAGCTGGCAATTACACCATGCCTGGAGGGCTGTGGACATCCTGACAGCATGGCCCGGGGACAAGGGTCAGCAATGACTTCCCACAAGAGCTATTCATAGGCAAATGCAGCAGCCATCCTTGTTGGGCGTGCAGTCCTTATTAAAAAGCGCTCTGTTGTGTGGTTTGCTGCAAAAATATCTATCTCTGGGGTGGCTTTTTGTCTCAAGCAGGTCCCAAGCACAAGGATGACAACAAAACCCCAAAGAGAAGCAGCAAGGAAAAGCAGCTAGCTGTCCATACAAGAACCTGCAAAACTCACCCCCTTTACATGAGGCGGGCTGAAGGGATTTTGGATGGGGGCTGCCGGTGGCTGCAGACACACGGGAAGAGGCTGGAGGATGCTTGGCAGCAGTGGAGGGAAGGGGTGGGCTGGGAGCCCTGCAGTCACACCTGGAAGAGGGAGAGCAGGGCAGGGTGTCTGGCATGCAGATGCCGGCAGCGCTGCGAGCCGAGCGCGTGGGCAGGGGTGTAGGAGGTCTTGGCAGTGTTGATGGGGAAGTTTTTTCGCTTTGTCTCAAGGCATGGCTGTGCCCCGTCCTGCCTCCTCCCCTCTGGTTCCCAGGCGCTGGGTTTTGAGCTGAAACTCCTGGGTCTGCCTTCCTTACTTTGAAAATGGCCTCAGATCTGGCTGGGTGGAAAAGGCTGCTGTCTGCTGGGCTGCAGAGGAGTAGTGGACACCAAGTTCCACCTGACCTCATCCTGCCAAAGCCCAAGACAGCAAGGAGACATTCCCCAGGATCTATGCACAGCCATGGGTCTGCTCTTTCCTGGCCATTTCCTTAAGCCTCCAGCCTCCAGCCCCAGGACACTCCTTCAAGGCAGGGGAATGTTAAAGCTGTTTTTTCCTACAACTGCCATGTTGTCCCCCAATGACATTTGCCCTGGCAAGGAATTAATCTCTCCCCGTCTGAATGTTTATGTACCAAATACCTGTTCCTCTGCTTTTGTTCACCAGTTCCTTAAGCAGGAGCGCCTAGTTCTTAACCAAAACGTAGGCAAAGAGCCCCCCCAAGGAGAGAAACCTGGCTGTGTACAAGTCTAGAGGGGAACTAGGAATAAACCTCAGTATTTCCAAGTCATTAGTTAGCGATGGCTCTGGGCTTCTCCATATTCTGTAGCCAAGAGGCACAGACCAGTTTTTATGAGTGAGAACCCCAGAGAATGAAACCTCTGGCTGGGCCGGTGACTGTTCCAGCCACAACAACATACCTCGAGATGAGGCTGAGGGCAGGAGACTGGCAAGGGAGAGGGAATTTCCTTTTCATGCCCCAGAGAAATCTATTTATTTGACCAGCAGGGCTGAGAGCCGCTCTAGCCCCATCGCTGAGGGATCCTTACCGCTTTTGTTTAAGCATTAAACTGCTGGAGGGATGTCTCCACTAAGAATATGTGCAATAACAAAATCATTACTCTCCTTAATTATGCTCGCTAATGTGCGCTTATGGCCAGAAGACCTATTCCAGATTACTGAATTCGGTGAATTTATTAGTGAGGAAGCAGGAGAACAGGATTAGAAATCCCAAAGGTACAGCATTACATAATGCACCGGGTTCATTTATTTTGGCAAGCTTAGTTTGGTTTTAATTACTTATGATAATGAACCAAAGTGCCTTCTTTAGGCTGTTTTGTATAGGTAATGGAGGCTTCCTGAAGTACGCCGCATGCATCTGCTGCTGAACATTTCCTTAGGACTTGGACAAATGACAGAAGACCGGGGGGAGGGTGTGGGGACGTCACTAATTCCCAGACACTAAAAATACCCGCGGCAGGACTGGAAAACGTGCTGCCGGATTACAGGGTATCGTCTGCTACTTGTGCTGCATGCTTGGAATAATTTCCTGCACACAAATGCTGGGAGGCGGAAGACCCTGAAATGGCCAAAGCCAGACTGTCATAAATCAGTTGGGGCTCTCCCAATTTACCTAAAAGTCACAGGTTTGGCTTGTGATGTTTTTCTGGATAGTTTCTTGCTGCAAAGTTGCTTTTTTGTGCTCTCTAATGATCTGTGGTCCCTTGTGTCTTGTCGCTTAGGCCCTGATGAGGACCGTGTGGCATTACTGCATCATTGCCTTGCCGCTGGTGTTCGCCTTCAGCATGCTGGGCACCATCACCGACAGCATCCTCACCAAGGCTGTCCCCTCCTCCGACACCGGTAAGGCTCATCAGAGAGATCAGACAGGTCTTTTTCCACTCCCTTTGCCCTTTTTTGGGGGGGCCCATCAGGCACTTCCCAGCTCATGCTCCAGCTCACCACAGGGGATGCCTGATTCCCCAGTAAATCTGGCTGCATTAGTTGCATGTGGTGGGGGTCAGTGGAGGGGTGAGTGAGTACTGGTGGTGCTAGCACAGGATGAGCCACAACAGTGTTGAACAAGCATCCCACAGCTGGTGCACCCAGTCCTACCCTAGCTGCTGCCATCAGGCTCCAGGGTAATGTTGGCTCTGGACCTTCAGTCCTGTTTGCCCTGCACGAGGTGAAGTCCGTGGCCTGATAGACCTCACTCTTTCAGCAGCTATTTCCCCAAAAAGCTGACACTATCCCCAGCACCATCATCCCTAATCCCTGACTCAGTGCCAAGCCGTGTGCTATGCTTCCAGCCCCATGTGGTCATTGCCCCACTCCACTTTTTGGCCACATCACTGCATAGAGTTACTTTATTTCTCTGTACAAGGGGTCTGAAATGCAACAGTAGATGCAGAAATCTTCACACCCGCAATTTTTCATCAGTCAGCTGAGGAAATATGGCTGTGTTGTTGCCATGGGAGCCTTGCTGAGTTTGCCCCAGGATGGAGCAGGGTTAACCTGCTGCAGTGTATTCTGCTTGTGGTCTTTCACAGTTTGCTCCCAGAGCTCTGACCATCAGGTACCCAAGATTTCCTCTGCTTTAGCTGAGCCTTTCTGGGCCACCAGCCTTCACCCTTCAGCTTCACTTGCGGCTGTCTGACCAGATACCTTCCCATAGGACCCAACTGAGAATTGGCTTTAGAGTCTGCACAGCCCATTAGTGAAGTTTATAAAGCACTTTTAAGATGCTTCTGGATGAAGAGCTTTTCTAAACGTCACTCCAGAAGTTTATTTGTAGAGCTGAAGACTGCCTCTACTACAAATGCTGGAAGCCCACGATTTCCAAGCGTGATGCTTCTACCTGGGAGAAGCTCCTAGACCATGCAGAGACAAGGTCTGGGATACCCCAGCCCCTCTGCATGGCGAGGAAGGAAATCTGCTGCTTCACGACTTGGAGCAACATTCAGCGAGGAGGGAGAGTAGTGGAGGAAGGGCACCAAAGGCCTTTGGGGCATAAAGTAAAGCTGGAATTCATCCAGACTCTGCTCAAAGGGGCTTTGTAAAGAAAAACGGAGCATTGCTCGGCTTTTAAAGCCCGGAGGCTAGCATCGGTCAGAGGGGAAAATGGGTTTAGTTGCCTCACCCTGGTCACCGCTTGCGTATGTTGTTACGACAGGACGGGATGGATGATCTCTGCACAGAAAGGCAGGATGGAGACAGCCCATGGGGTGGCAGGAAGGCGTCTGGGGACCCTGGGATATGGGCTCTAATGTGCCCATCCATTCTGGGCCGATAATGTGCCAAGTGCTCCTACAAATTACAGGCTCAAAACTGTGTACGAGGAGGAGGCATGCTGCTGGCACAGAGGATCACAGCAGTGGTGGAAAACTCTGTCTCCTCCAGCCCTTCCTGCCCCTCACCCTTACAACAGTGCCTTCCCTCACGGTGTTTCCCAGGGAGGAGGCATCTGCTAGTCTTGCGCTTGTTTTGGGCGCATCCCCAGCGAAGGCAGGAATGCCTGACACAGCAGAGCCGCGTCCTCGCGAGCTGCCTCTCCGCGGCAGCTGCGGCGGTGACGGCGTGGGTGTCTCTCGGAGCAATGCGGCTATTAAGATGCCTGCCATCCGTCGCAGGCCGTGGGTGGCACCACACGAGGGCTGCTCCACCCGTACGGCAGCTCGAATGCGGCTCCTTCCTCTGCCAGCCTGAAACTGGCTCTGCAGAGTGAGCGTTTTGGTGGTGTGCTAGGAATCGCCACTTCCCCAGGGGCGTGTAAATCTGGGGATTCTCCTTACAGAAAAGTCTCTCTTTCATTCCCTGGGGTCAGCCGTGCTGTTTTTACCTGGGGCTGGCAGAGGCTGGGAGGACTTTGCATTTGGCCAAAGAGAGGCCATGTGAGGAGTTGGAGGTCGGGCTGAGCTGAGGATGGGGTGTTGCAGGACAATCGTTTGTCCGCCCTGGCTAGACACTGAGTCACCCATCCTTGTCTCCTAGCTCGATGTTTCTGCAAGGAAACAGAGGCCAGGCAGTGGCCAGAGGACGGCACCATCCCTTGCACCCACCACCCTGCTTCCAGGCCCCATCTCAGGCCACTCCTCCTGAGGCTGACGAGTCCCACTGAAGGCAATGGAGTGGAAATGATTTCATTCATTTCCCTTTGATTTTTTTTTCCCTCCCCATCTTCAAAGGCAGGAAGGGAAAATGTTGCGCCGCGTGCATGTGCCATTCAGCTGTGCGCACGAGCTGGTGGGAGCGCAGCCCCAAGCCAAGGCAGGCTCGCATCAGCACAAGCACTCCTTGTCCCCCCGAGAATGGAGGTCTTGTTCCTGCCTGAAGGAGGGGGGAGGTAGGAAGGAAGTGAAGCAGAGCATCACTGCCTCATGGTCCCGCATTTCACAATTTTATTCACACATCAGGCGCAAAACCCTAGAAGGAGAGCTTGCAGTGAGGCTTGGCCCCCCAGGCCCCCCCAGCTTTGCCTTGCTGGCTCGGAGGCGGCTGCTCATGGTGCCCTGATCATTAAATGAGGCCATGCTATTGCCCCGCGGGCATCAGGCTGATCCAGGCCAGCACTGTCATCTGAAGGCGGTGACAGGATGTGAGCTGGAAAGGAGTGAGCAGGGAGGAGGGACACGGCCCCGAAACTTGTGGGAGGAGAGGCTGTGAGAAGGTCCGGGGTAGGAGGTGACTGCACTGGCCAGGTCTGGCCACATGGGAAGGGGTAGTGATGCCAGGTATGGGAAAAAAGCAGGGGAAAAGCTAGTGGAAGAGGAAAAAAAGGGGGCAGGAAAGGTACAGAAAGATGAGATTGCTGTGATAAAGAAGGTGGCAAGCAAGCATGTTTTTTGGCAGAGGTGAACAAAGTGATGCAGACATGGTTTTTGCTGGTGAGGTGACTCGTCACGGTTAAAGGTCTGATGTTAACTGAGATCCGTCACGTGTGCAGCGTGGAAATGGAGCGAGGGCTGAGATTTACAGTGTCCCAAAGCTCCAGGGCATCCGACACGAGGGATCTAATTTAAGCCCATTAAATAGAAATTATCTTTCTCAGCAGTGTGTTACAGAAGTGCAGAGAGAGCCCAGCCTTTTGAGAGGATGGATTTCAGCTCAAAAAAAAAAAAAAAAAAAAAAAAAAAAAGGAAAGGAAAAAAGTGCCTCCTCAATCATAAGAGCCAGTTTGGCAATTGCACGTAGTAATTAGTTTAATTCAAATACCTAGAGGGAAAAAAATAATTGCAAAACCTGCCCAGAAAGTTTGGTGGTTGTGGGATTGTTCCCATTGGCAAAGGGTCAGGTTGAGGTCCCACCCATCGCTGTGTTGTTCCCATGTGCAGGAGGAGCTCAGCAGCTCTTCCAGGGAGACTTCCCTCTCTGCGCACTATGACTACGCCCTTGGTTCAGGCTCATTGCACAAGTATTTTAAGCATTTTTGATAAAAGTACAGCAGTCCTGGGGCAGCGTTACACCAACACCTGGCTGCCCACCCTCCCTCTGAGCTGGGGGTTGTTCCTCCATGGTCACCCACTGCTCTAAGCCATGCTAGATATCACACTGGTGTCCGCTTCTTGCAAGCAGGACAGCATCCTCCCCTCTCCTAGGTGTTGCTGGCATGGTGTGGTGATGGTTCAGTTCATGTCTTGGTGGAAAATTGATGCCAACAGCCTACTAATCACACTGGGGTTAAGAGAAATAATTTAAAACAACATTTCAGAGCAGTGTGTAAGTTCCTTGTACAGCTTCCCCTCCCTCCCAGTGGTGTGGGCTAATAATTTCCTGGCTGGATGGGCATTGTCTGTTCCCCTGAGTGTGACAGCCATCCCGCATGAGGACCGCATGGTCAGGAGCCCAGCGGGTACAGGGGGCCGTGGTTGCATTCCGTGAGATGTCCTGGTGGAAAAACCTGCCTTTGCCCAAGTGGAGGTGCTTCCCCTTCCCCTGGGCTCTTGTTAACCATGCAAATGTGCAAGCTGCTGGAAGGAGAACCGGCCGAGCCAGGTGAAAGGCTCCCATTTCCATCCAAATTGAAACATCCGCTCTGTTCGCTCTGTTCGAAAGGGTGTGGGGGGTTAACCTCAAGGGGGTTTGGTCTCTAGCTGTGCTTTTAGCTATTTAGTCTTAAAGACATAGTTCGACCTAAGTTTCTTGCTCCTGATAAGCTCTCAAGAGCAGTATTATGCAAGAGAAGAAATGGTGATTGCTGCTTGGTGGGATGGGAGCCTCTTGAGTACCCACTGCTGCTAATCATGATATCAGAAGACGGTGTGCTTCGCTTTGGAAGGCGTCAGTGTGCTCCTAGAAGCAACATCTCCGTCCCCAACCTGTGCTGTACTTGGCAGCCCAGTTGAGTTCAGGAGCACCTTCCAGTGTCCAAAGCATCCTTGGACCCTGGCTAAGGTGGCGGTGAGCATCGGTTTGCCTTTTGGGCAGCATTACGACCGTCTGCATCGCGGCGGCAAAGAGCTGAGCTGGTGGAAACTCGTCCCCATGCCTCCAGGAGGCCTTAGACTTAACGAACCCTAATTGGACTTCTATAAAGGAATGCGAGAGATTATTTGAAGCGATTTCCTACCGCTGCAGGGGGAAGGCCAGCAGGGACAAAGGGGCTCCTGCACACCTCCTTCCCAAAACTCACCCTTGCCCTGATGTGTGCCTATCTCTGCTGTCTCTCCTAGGTACCATGCTGGGGATCTGCGCGTCGGTCCAGCCCCTGACACGGACGGTGGGCCCAACCATCGGCGGTGTGTTGTACAAACGATTTGGAGTCCACTCCTTCGGTTATTTGCAGCTAATTGTCAATATTGTGTTGTTTGTTTACCTCTTAAAGAGTAAAATCCCTCTGAGAGAGCAGAAAGCCCACTGATTCAGATACACCAAAGCTTCCCCCTTACTTTTCCCATAGCAATAAAGAAGACAGTGGCATTGTGCTTTCTTTTTGAGGCCACAAATGTGGAATAAAGCACTTTCAACAGCTCCTTGTGTTTCTTTGCCCTTGGCACAAGAAAGACCTGACATCAAGGCCAGCAGCAGGCAGACCGGCTTGCAATAGCAGGGGGCCGCGTGCCCCACAAGCTGCCGCTGCCATTGCAAACACTCAGCAGCAGCTCCCGAGCCCCAGCTGCTCTAAGTCAGCATTCCTGCGTTGGATTCGCGGAAACTGAGGGGATTAACAGCCAGCCCCTCTGCTCGGTTTGGGCTTTTTTTTTCTTCCCTCAATACTAACAAGGAAAATGGGGGTAGAACGCACTGACATTTGAGCAGCAGTGCATTATCACTCTACTAACCGTGCCTCTGTTGTGCTTATGTTAGAGGGGGGCCAGGACTAAAAGCTTTCAGATGTTGTGGCCAAATGCTTGCTATGTCCACCATTAAAGCCTGGGAAGCCACGATGGTGCATGAGGCTGCTGGTCACAGCTGCCAGCAGAGCATGAAGAGGATGCCTGGCCCTGCTGTGGCCCTGACCCTCCTCCTGGAGTGATTTTTATTCCCTGTACTGAGCCTCTCTTGCTCTTACTACAGGCTGCTTGTAATTAAATAGCTTCCTCTACTATAAACTCTCCTGCAAGAATTTCCTGATACTGGGGGAGGGGAGGGGAATTACCCAAATGAAGCGATCAACTTTCGGAGCATTAGTAGGGAATACTTCGCTAGTGATTATTGAGCCTCACGAGATAAATCTTCAATAATTTTGTCCCCAAAAATATATATATAAAAGAGCTGTTGCTTGATCTATGGGCTCTGTAGGAAAAGACCATCTTACTCCTTCCCAGGTAATTTAACTTGACCTAGGCACCGCGTCACTGCAGGCAGATAAGAGGAGAGGAGTTTGACTTGCTATGTTGTAAAGGTGAGCAATCCTGTGGAGCACCAGCACTGCATTAGGCTGAAATCCAGGTCACTGCCCCAGCCCAGCAGGAAGCTATGGGACAGCAGGAGGAAGGCAAAGGGCATTAGGAGTAGGCAGAAGCATTTTACAATTGCAGGGAGCTCTTGCGCCGTCTTTAGCTGCCATTACTCAATTACATGGGAAAATGCTTCCGAAAGAGCCCTTACCGAGCACGTGGAAGGCTTTTGTATTTCCACTGCTGGCCAGCCCTGGCCCTCAACATGCTTTTCCTCCCTGTTCTGAGATACAGACGGGTTACCTCAAGTTCCTCCACCTCCCACTGCCCAGTCCAGGCCACCAAAATGGTGCTTGCCCGCTCCTTTCAAGCCGCTGCCCACACCACAGATACGCGTCCACAAAAGTTACTGCACCACAGACTATAGTAATAAAAAGTGAACATTTCAAGTAATTTATTTGGAATGGACATATTAATGCAAAAGCAATATTAAGACGAATAACTGCCAAAAGACATTCATCAAAATAAATACAAATATAGATACTACAAATAATTTAAATTGTGTTTAACACCACCAGTCAGTGTTGAATCTTCCTTGCGTCTCATAAATAGAAGATAATCGTTTGCGAAGTCGTGCCACTCAACACACGTGGACGCCTGGCTAGAAGTCCTGTATGGAAGTCTTTGGTTTTTCTTTTTCAAAATGCATCTCAGGCAAAGCTTGGGGCTCTTTGCTCAGCAGCCTCGACAGGCTTGGAGAAAACCAAGCTGCTTCCAGCTATCTTCTTCGCTTTCCTTCATTGGTACCCTGTCCCATTTCAGTCCAAGACACTTGCTCTGGTATATCATCCAGCGGCATGCTCTAAGGGCAGCGAGAGAAAGCAGGTTAGTGAAACGCACTGGGTGGTGGAAATAGAAAAATAAAGCGCTCCCAAATGGGAGGCAGCGTCCGGCCCTCATCGCATGCTTGGGGGTTTCCATAGGGAACTCTGCGTGGAAAGCATCGCAGAGTGCCATTTCTGCCCTGGTAGTCCCTCACCACCCGCACCCACCCGAAACACCCGGCCTGGAGGGACCCGGCGATGCGGGCAACCCCTTGGCAGCCAGACAGAGCGCAGGGGGCTCAGGCTCACCTGGGGCCGTGCCGGGCCGTGCCGGGTGGCGGGCGGGGGGCTCAGGGCGCCCGGGCCAGCCGCCGCTCCTGGGTGCCCGCCGCCTGCTCCATCTCCTGGCGGCTCTTGAAGTCCTGGATGGCCCGCTTGTTCTGGAAGTCGATGAGGGCCATGGTGATGGAGGCGTTCCAGCAGCTCTGGTCCGGGCACCGAAAGTCAATCTCCTTGCGGTCCTTGGTGACAATGGTGAAGTAGATGTACTTGCCCGTGCGCTCCACACAGTCCACCTTGAGGATGGAGCCGAAGCCCAGCTCCTTGCCCTTGGCCCGCTTGTGCCCGTCGGGGAAGAGGCTCAGGCTGTCCTTGGTGAGCACCACCAGCTTCTTCTTCCACAGCTGAAAAAGGCTGTCGCTGCGCTTCTCCAGCTCGCCCTCGCGGATCACCTCGGCTTGCATCTTCATCCTTTCCCCTTGCTTTTCTCCTTCTTCCCTCCCTCCCTTCCTCCGCGGCGGCTGCGGCTCCTCCAGCTGTGGCTCCGGCTGGGGCTGTGGCGACGATGAGCGAGCCGTGCCGCTCAGGACCGATTTATTGCAATGAATCAGCGCCGGCCGCCTTCCGGTGCCTCCCCCGGGGAGCCCGGCCCGCCGCCCCCTCGCCGCTCCGCCTCCCGCCCGCCCCCCCCGGGGCCGCGCTGCTCCGAAGCGGGGGGGCCCTGCGGAGACCCCACCACGCTTGGGTGCCCACCCCGGCTCGGCCGAGTCCCCAGCTCCTTGTTTTTTTGCGTCGTCCCCTGAAATCGCCGCCTTCGCCCCTTTTTTTCACCCCCCCACTATGCTAAACCCACTCCCCCCCCACTCGGGAAGGCTGCGTGGTTTGCCAGCCCTCAGCCCCACGGGGCAGGGACTGAAGCTGGGGCTTTAGGAGGCGAGGAGCAGGCAGCAGAAGCGAGCCCACCGTCCCTTCCCCTAGCACCCCATGAGTTTTGCCACCCTCTTTACACCCCACTCCGCTTCGCCCAAGCTGGCATTGCAGCAAGCGGCAACCTGGGTGGCTCACTTCTGCCGGGTTCGTGGCTGCCTTCAGCAAGGGAAAGGGTCCATGGTGGCATTTTCCAGACAAATGCCATTCTGGCCTGTAAAGCAGCAAAGTTCCTGCACAAACGACCCCTTAAAGAACAAGGGATTTCAGCTAGGTAGGATCAGAGCTTGATCCTAAGTTGAAATTTTATTATTATTTTAAGTAGGGCTCCCCAATGCACCAGGGAAGGGTCTTTGTGTGCAGGAAATGGGACACCACTTCAAAAAGAGACGAAACAGAAAAGGCAGCAAGCCGGGAGCATACAAGGAACATCTGGAGGAAAGCTCCCGGTTTGGAAAGCTGCAGGACGTGGCATGTTTGTGCACACCTTGCTTCAAAAGGTCCAGAAAATTGAAAAAAAAAAAAAAAAAATATATATATATATATATATATATATATATATATATATATATAATTTGCTTTTAAATGAAGCTCACATCTGTGGTGCAGGGTCAGCAGCCCGCTTTGGTGTTCGTCTTCCTGCTTTGGCTATCACCTAAGCAATCTTCTGTACTCATCCATCACATCAAAAAAATCAGAGCCTCAGCTGTCACAGCCTCCAGCTGGTTTGAGCACTGACCAACTCAGAACACTGCTGGGAAAAAAAAAAAAATAAAAAATTGCTTACAGTGTAAAGAAAGGTTCTTGCAGCACTGGGACCCTGGTTTCCAACGTATGGCCACTATAAGAACTCTCCCCTTTTTATTAGCATGGGCTTGCTAAGTGGATAACCACATAAAAGGAAAGCCCAGTGCATTAAAATACCTTAATTCTACATGTATGTCTTTGGCATGGTGACCATGCGAAAACTGCATAAAGCAGGTCTTAATACTGTTTTGCCTTTACTGAGGCAGAGAGCAAAGCAAAGGTGACTCCAACTGACCCCAAACCAGGCAGCAAAATACAATCACGGAACATTTCCTATGGGAGCACGTGTCAGGGAAGAACTGAGAGCTTCGGAGACCTCAGAGCATCCTGGCCTGGGAAAAAACTCCCACAGCTTGCACTGAAGGAGCACAGCCCTAGCCCTACCATGTGCTGCAGTGGCTGGTCTTTGTGTAGGAAAAAGCAAAAAGCCTATTGCTTTGCTTGGGAGAAAGGAAAGAAATGTGCATATTGACTCCTTTTAAAATAACACAGGTTAATAAATTAAGTGAGGAACTCACAACGAGTTTACAGTGGAGGGCTCAATTCATCTTCAGCGCCTGGAGAGAGAGTAAGAAATACAAGGCATGATCTTTCCAAGTGTCACGGAGCGGCTTGTGCACATATGGGTCTCCCTACTCTTAGAATAAAACTAAAATAAACAAAAAATAAATAAAAATAAACAAAAATAAATAAAAATAAATCAGTTGGCAGTGCTAAGCACTGGGGAGGTAGTGGGGATGCAGCAAGGCAGGCAGCATGGGCAGCTCCAGGGCAATGCATCGGCATTCACATGCCAGAGCCTATTTCCACGTGCCCATCTCCCACTTTCAGCGTTCAGCAGAGATGCTGCTACCATCCTTTGCATCACCCTAAAGCAACTTCTGCTTTGGTAAGAACATTTTCAAAGCCAACATGGCACAGAGGTATGGTTTCAGCCCTCTCCCAAGTGATGGGAGGGTCGCTGGCTCTGCCATCGTGTGTGTTTCTTAATTCAGTGCATGCTCCAGACCAGGGATTTTGCTCATTGTTTCAGACTTTGGGGTTTCATATGCCTCCCCACTGGCCTGATGGCTCCCTCTGTGTTCAAGGGATGGGGCTCATGCTGAGGAAAAATGAAAAAAAAAGGGGGGAGGAGGGGCAAGGGGGAGGCTTAGTTAATTATCACCCCTGCAGCTCTCCCCACGCACCCTTTCATGGGGTCTTGAGTGGGATGTAGCAATGCACCCAGCTTGCCCAGGTCAGGATCTGCCCCCAAACACATCAGCCCTTACTCATGCTCTGCAGGGTATCAGCAT